GCAAAAAATCGGGATTTTGGGTTTTTTGGGAATTTTTTCTGATTTTTTTCCGATTTTTTTTCAATTTTTTTTCGATTTTTTTCGATTTTTTTTCGATTTTTTGGGGTTTTTTTTGTGGTTTTGTAAAAATTTTTGGGGTTTCCTTGAGGGTTTTGTTGAGTTTTTTGGGGTTTTTTGGGGTGTTTTTAGGGATTTTGGGGCTCCGGGATCTCAGGGATTTTTTTGTGTCTCCATGGTCCGTTTTTGGGGTGATTTTGGGGTGATCTCAGGGTTATTTTTGGGGTTATTTCAGGGTTATTTCAGGGTTGATTTTGGGGTTATTTCAGGGTGATTTCAGAGGATTTTGGAGTTATTTCAGGGTGATTTTGGGTGATTTTGGGACTCCAGGATTTTGCAATTTTTTGCGTCTCCACTGAGGATTTTTGGGGTGATTTTGGAGTGATTTCAGGATAATTTTGGGGTGATTTTTGGATGATTTTTGGGGTGATTTCGGCGTGATTTCAGGGTGATTTCAGAGGATTTATGAGTGATTTCAGGGTGATTTTGGAGTTATTTCAGGATGATTTTGGGGTGATTTTGGGGTGATTTTTGGGGTGATTTCGGGGTTATTTCAAGGTGATTTCAGGGTGATTTTGGGATGATTTTTGGGGTGATTTTGGGGTGATTTTTGGGGTGATTTTGGAGCGATTTCAGGGTGATTTTAGGCGATTTTGGGACTCCAGGATTTTGCGATTTTTTGCGTCTCCACTGAGGATTTTTGGGGTGATTTTTGGGGTTATTTCAGGGTGATTTTGGGGTGATTTTTGGGGTGATTTTTGGGGTGATTTTGGAGCGATTTCAGGGTGATTTTTGGGGTGATTTCGGGGTGATTTCAGGGTGATTTTGGGCGATTTCAGGACTCCAGGATTTTGCGATTTTTTGCATCTCCACTGAGGATTTTTGGGGTGATTTTGGAGTGATTTCAGGATAATTTTGGGGTGATTTTTGGATGATTTTTGGGGTGATTTCGGCGTGATTTCAGGGTGATTTCAGAGGATTTATGAGTGATTTCAGGGTGATTTTGGAGTTATTTCAGGATGATTTTGGGGTGATTTTGGGGTGATTTTTGGGGTGATTTCGGGGTTATTTCAAGGTGATTTCAGGGTGATTTTGGGATGATTTTTGGGGTGATTTTGGGGTGATTTTTGGGGTGATTTTGGAGCGATTTCAGGGTGATTTTAGGCGATTTTGGGACTCCAGGATTTTGCAATTTTTTGCGTCTCCACTGAGGATTTTTGGGGTGATTTTGGAGTTATTTCAGTGTGATTTTGGGGTGATTTTTGGGGTGATTTTTGGGTTGATTTTGGGGTGATTTTTGGGGTGATTTCAGGGTTATTTCAGGGTGATTTCCGAGGATTTTTGAGCGATTTCAGGGTGATTTTGGGTGATTTTGGGACTCCAGGATTTCGCGATTTTTTGCGTCTCCACTGAGGATTTTTGGGGTGATTTCGGGGTTATTTCAGGGTGATTTCCGAGGATTTTTGAGCGATTTCAGGGTGATTTTGGGGAGATTTTTGGGGTGATTTCAGGGTTATTTCGGGGTTATTTCAGAGTGATTTCAGGAGGATTTTTCAGTGATCTCAATGTGATTTTGGGTGATTTCGGGACTCCAGGATTTCGCGATTTTTTGTGTCTCCACTGAGAACTTTTTGAGGATTTTCGGGGTAAATTTTGAGGATTTTGGGGGTCTCCCCGCGCAGGTTTCTGCCACTTCTACCTGCCCGAGGAGCAGTACCCCAAGGGCTTCGCCTTCGACTGCGACGACGTCAACTTCGCCACCGACAACCTCTGCTTCGTGGGGCTCATGTCCATGATCGACCCGCCCCGCGCCGCCGTGCCCGACGCCGTCGGCAAGTGCCGCAGCGCCGGCATCAAGGTGCGACCCCCAAAATCCCCCCCAAATTCTGCCCGGGACCCCCAAACCCACCCCGCGTTTCCCCGGAGCTTCCCCGCAGAGCTGCGGTGTTGGAACGCAAATTCTTCCAAAATCCTCCCCAAAATCTCTCCCAATCCCCCAAATCTCTCCCAAGCCATCTCAGGACCCCCTCCCAAATATTCTCGACCCCCGGGACCCCCAAAATCCCCCCCAAATTCTGCCCGGGACCCCCAAACCCACCCCAAGTTTCCCCGGAGCTTCCCGGCAGGGCTGCGGTGTTGGAGCACAAATTCTTCCAAAATCCTCCCCAAAATCTCTCCCAAAACTACCTCAGGACCCCCTCCCAAGTCTCCCAGACCTCCGGGACCCCCAAAATCTCCCCCAAATTCCGCCCGGGACCCCCAAACCCTCCCCGCGTTTCCCCGGAGCTTCCCCGCAGGGCTGCGGTGTTGGAGCACAAATTCTTCCAAAATCCTCCCCAAATCCCCTCAAAATCCTCCCCAAGCCCCCTCAGGACCCCTTCCCAAATATTCCCGAACCTCCTAAGGCCCCTCAATTCTCCGGGACCCCCAAAATCCCCCCCAGATTCCGCCCGGGACCCCCAAACCCACCCCGAGTTTCCCCAGAGCTTCCCCACCGCATCCCTGTGCTCTCGGCAGTTTTGGTGCCCAAATCCTCCCCAAATCACCCCAAAATCTCTCCCAAGTCGCTAAAGTCTCTCCCCAAACCACCTCAGGACCCCTTCCCAAGTCTCCCAGACCCCTGCGACCCCCAAAATCCCCCCCACATTCCGTCCG